TCTGGGGTGTTTCTGCACCATCTCATCACAACCTCCACAGTTTCCCTTTCAGACAAAGAAGCAGGTACTCTAGTTCAGGGGTTTTCAAAGTGTGGGAAGGTGAGCCTCCCCTCAGAGAACATAAGAACAGCCGCGCCCCCCCCCCCCCCCCCCCCCCCCCCCCCCCTTCCAATTATTATTGCTATTTTATTATTATTGTTGTTGTTGTTACTATAATGCAGGGGTATTGAATTGCATTTCAAAGAGGTCCAGTAAGAGAAAATGTCATTAAATGCTCTGTTTTCGCTGTCTACCTTTCTCTTTTTTGAGCACGCCATTTGAAATTCTCTTCTTGTCTCGTCTCTGTGTGTGTGTTTGAATCTATCGTGCTGACTCACTGACTGCACCAATTTGATTGGCTGAGTAGCGTCACCTCCTTAAAACATGAAACAATAACTTTTTTAAACCTTTTAATCTTTATGTTTTAAACATTTTTTTAAATGAACGTCAACTTTGCCTCCTTATTACACTCACCCCTACTTTAGTGCGAACAATGAGTCTGCGTCTTTGATGCGCACAGGCGGATGATGCGGGGATGCAATGTAGACAGGAATAAACGCATCATCCTCTGGCTGCAGCCTTGACTTTTGATCAAAGTCGATGCGGAAAACCTGCACTCACACAGGTAGGTGGAGGTGAAGGGAATGAGCACTTTTACAGCCTTTTTGGCGAGGTGGGGGAACTCGGTCTCCACAGACAGCCAAAAGTGTGCAAGTGACGTTTTCTGCCAGACGCTGTCTCCTCTCTCACTTTAGGTAATTTCACTAAAAATCGATCCATGTTGCCGCTCGCATAAAGTTAGCTGAAGTTAACTAGCTAGATTTCACTGTTTCTCGTTATTTCTTTCTCACGCTGCGCCACCCCTGAAGTTCTCTGGCGCCCCCCCGGGAAGGCGCGCCTCACACTTTGAAAACCGCTGCTCGAGTTCATACATGATCAGGTGTGTAATTGCCTGATTATTTCCCATTTAAATGCAAAAAGGGATTTTACTCATCATGACTGAATCCTACTGACTTTGGTTATCTTGTATATTTTGTTCCTAGTGGCACTAGAGTTTATATATATCTTTAATAATATCTTATAAATCCTATTGACTTTTTGTGTCCCCTGTCCCCCATTTCCACTCGTGCTGCCGTCAGGTAAAAAATCCTAATTTGTCACACCTGCAAACTAATGACATCTTCATCGGCCTCAGCTGTGCGTTGTGTTTGGTGGTTTTCCAAATGTTAGTATGCTAAAATCTTACACTATATGGTTAACATTATAACTGCTAGACATCAGAATTAAGTCATTGCGAGTGTCATTATTTGGACATTAGCATTTAGCTCAACGCATCCCTGTACAGCCTGGCCGAGCCTCTTGTTGCTGTATACTCCATTTGTTTGTTATTTATGATTAGATCCAGCATTGTTTGGCATGTATATTGCTGGACAAGAAAATTGGCATGGCACTAAAATTAGACCCACGTGAAGACAAGAAAGGAACTCCCGAGAACCCCCTAAGAGGAGAAACGGATGGGCACTAGCATAGCCTAATTAGAAACAAGGAAAACAAATGAGAACAACTATCAAAATAAATGTTCCATTACAGCTATAGTAGCGTGTGAAGGGTGGTAATGAGGAAAACCGTTTATATTTCCTGAAGCGATGGCCTGAAAGGAAACACTTCTTGAAAGAAAGTCTCCTTGTGAGGGCAGAGCTTCCAACCACACAGAGAGCACATGCTGAGCAGAAGAAGCTGGTACAGGTCTGCCAGATACATGATCCCCATCCTTAATTTTCTCTGAGAGACATAAAATTCAACCTTTTTCCTGGAACTGCAAAAGGAGGCTGTAGTGCATCCCTTGCAGAAGATCTAAACCTGCCCATTTTCTCAAGTGAAACCAGATGTCCATGACCTCAGCCAGCTGAGCTGTTCTTTCCACAAATGGCCCACTTCCCGCTCACATGCTTTTCGGGCCTGTTTCAGTGCCTTTCAGTCAGCCACATTCCATTGTGAGGCATTCAAGTGCAATGTACAAGGTAGCCTAATTTCCTGGGTTAATAAGGGAGTCTGGTTGGTCCTATATTTAACCTGAAACCACATTAAAAGGCCTTTTGGCTGTCCCTAAGCTATTTCCCTGTGGAACAACTGGCCCTTTTAATACAAGACAGCTCAAAGTGACCTCAATAGTAAAAACAGGCTCTACACTTAATGTTTCAGAGTCACAGTGCTTAACAGTCATTGTCTTTATACAGTTGGTTAAGAATGTTCAGAATTCAACACTTAGACTAAGAGCAGGGATCTGTTACTGAGACCTTTTTTTTTTTTAACTATTCCAAGCCTTCCTCCTGTATTTCCCCCATTCAATTATTCTTTTTATTTTTATTTGACCATAGAATTGTGCTTCCGGTTGAACAAACCTCAGTTCACTTTCAATGCATTGATGGAAAAATAATCACTGTAGAAGCGACAGAAAAGTATTCAACAGTTTACAGTGGTGGAAGAAGTATTCATTTACTCAAGCAACAATACCACAATTTAACACATTTCCATTGAAGCTTTCATGCATTCATAAAAAGTATTAAAAACAATATTTAAGAAAATCTACTAAAAGTATCAAAACTTAAACTATTCACTATGCAGCAAAATGTCCCCTGTCAGTTATATTATCTTAGATTGTAATAAAGCTCTGTTACTGTTACAAAGGTCAGATGATATCCCTATTAGCATGAGCATTGGCTATTCTTCCTGGGGTCCACACACACAGTCGGCTTTATCCTTCTCTCTCTGCGTACTTTTCTCCTTGGAACAACATTTAAAAAAAATGCAGTTTGGTTTTGGTCAGAAGAATTTATCGTGACCCTTGGGGGTTTTATGAAAAATACACTGTGGCCAAGTTTTACATTTACACTGTAGGAAAACTGTGGTCATTTAGGGGGTGTTTGCAAGGACTTAGTGTTTTTAAATGCAACATTTTTACAAGTGAAGTCCAGGTTTGTGTGTATGATGGGGGATTTGCTGTCAGATTGGGTGTTGCAGCACATTGCCCATGTTGATGGGAGACTTCTCAGATTAGTCCAGTCGTTGGATGCTCATTTAATTTAATCTGGAGGAAGCAGATGTTCTTGAACAGCAAAAAGTAATCACTCACAATTAGTGGAGGGTTACTTCCCTCTCTTCCCTTCAATATTGTGTTCCTTTACTTGTTGATGTTATGTTAGCATGCAAATGTGTCTAAAGAATTAAGTTAAAATATAGGTTTTCATAACCTTTTACTGAATACATTTATGATATCCCAGTGCAGCTATAATTTAAAGTAAGGAAAGTACCATCTCCTAACCTTAAGGGATTGTCCTCATATCCTCTAACTTTGTGAGAAATATATTGTGTATAAACGTTATAGGTATTGAGAAAAGTCCTCTCCACAGACTGTCCACAGGTGACCAAATTCACAAGTCTGATCTGTGAATAAAGGACAGTCTACGTATACACAGAAATAATCATCACACAAAATAAAACAACGAGGATGGGGAAACTGTTATTTGAACATTTGTGGAAATAGTGTTAGTCTATAGCCATCAGCCAATCAGAAGAAAGATTTTGCCTGAGCAGATTTTGTAACCTAAAACATTGGTAGCATTGTGAAGCCATAATAAATGGCTTCAAACAAAGGTACCCAGCTGGCTTGGTTAACCCCAGGCCATAAGAGCACATACTAGGTAAACAATTGAGTTGGATGTTTTGTTTTTGAACTGGAGCCAATACAGCAGTACAGTCTGAGCACTATTTAGCTTTGATTTGTGAAAAACATATAAATAGTGTTTATAACAGGAAAAACTCTTTGTCCCTGGGAACTTTCATTGTTTTTCATTTCCTTTCAGCGCCTCCAACAGCAACAACCAAAGTCAGAAAGTCTCTTCAACTTAAATAAAAAATGTAGCCAGCCACACATATGGAAGAATTAGAGGAGAAGCCTTGATGAAAAAAAAAGACAAATAGTTCCTGTTTAGATTTTTATCGCTACCTTGCCAACGTACAACATATGCTTTTGAATAACCATCCCAATTTTTTATATTTTGATATTGTTATTTTCATCCTAATATTTTTATATCATTTATGGTTAAATATGGGAACAGTTGTCACTTTTTGGGCTGAACATCATGACATCAAAAACAATAGTTGTAAAGGATAAATAGCACAGTTCATCTGATAATCCGGGAGAGTAAACCTCGGTCAGGTTTCAGATTGGAGAGGCACGGATTACTCTCTGCCCATCACATCTGTCACAGGAACTGCGATGCTGTGTACTATAATTGCCCTTTTGACATTCACAATATTAGCCTTTAAATATGACATGTGAGTAGTGTGCATATGAAAGGATTGTGTATCTCCTATGATGCCATGTCCATCCTTCATGTATTTCATTAGATAATACTTGATTCAGTGTGTAATATAGAATATTTTAGTTTTTTTTTTTTAAAGAATCTCTTTCCATCCACTAACTTCAGTTAGGCTACTTAAGACTTTAGATAAACATCATTATCATTGTGAGTTATTAAGAACTGGCTACGGCAGAACAAAGTATACCTACAATTTTCATTTTCCAAATGCATTGGTGCTAATTGCACTATGGAACACCCAAATATTTGTCTTGGATGAACAAAAAATGTAACAAAGGGTGATGCATGATGTTGGTGCTGTTCCGGAAAATTAGGCTCTGATGTATGAGTAGCCTATTTCAAAACGTCCTGCCCATCTGTGGGCAATGACCTTGTTTAAAGCAGGATAGTATTTTCACTCCCTTAGTGAGTGTGCATGTGTGTGTTTTTGTGCTGCTTGAGTGTGTGTCTACAAGACAGTGAGGGGCAGAGGGAGGCGGGCACGCCCAAATGATGGTGTTGAATGACGCCCGTCTGTTGCTTCTTCAGTATTTCGGTGCGTCCTGCGATTGGTGGAGGACGGGATATGGTACCCAGGGCTGGCGCACCATGGGCGGGTGGATGGCCTGTTTATAAACCCAGATCTCTCCTCGTGGGCGGGAACAGCAACAGTAGAGAGTGAAAGCGGAGGGACAGAGTGAGAGAGACGGTGGAGGAGAAGAGGCTGTGGTGGCGGCTGTGGCTGACCGGGGATCGCGGAGGGGGCGAGGCGGCCGCCCCTGAATGCCTCTTCAACCGCGCATGGACGACCACCTCAGCCTCCTGCAATCACCCCCGCTGAGCGTTACCAAAACCCGGGGCGACAATCTGGTGAACCACGGATACACCGAGACAGAGACCGACGTGATGACGGTGGTGGCGTGTGACAACATGCTGGAAGAGTCGGTGGCTCTCCCGGGCCACCACTCTCTGGACCGATATGAACCGGATCATGAATGCTGCGAGAGGGTCGTCATCAACATCTCGGGGTTACGCTTCGAGACCCAGCTCAAGACTCTCTCCCAGTTTCCAGAGACACTTCTGGGAGACCCCAAGAAGAGGATGAGGTACTTTGATCCTCTCAGAAACGAGTACTTTTTTGATCGAAATCGACCCAGCTTTGACGCTATACTTTATTACTATCAGTCTGGCGGGCGCATCAGGAGACCCGTTAATGTGCCCATTGACATTTTCTCTGAGGAGATCCGCTTCTATGAGCTGGGTGAGGAGGCTATGGAGAAGTTCAGGGAGGATGAGGGCTTCATAAAGGAGGAGGAGCGACCGTTGCCAGAAAATGAATTTCAAAGACAGGTGTGGCTGCTTTTTGAATACCCAGAGAGCTCGGGTCCCGCGCGGGGCATAGCGATAGTGTCTGTCCTGGTTATTCTCATCTCCATTGTCATCTTCTGCTTAGAGACACTGCCGGAGTTCAGGGACGACCACAGGGATCCGATCACTATTGCACCTGCGATTAATGGCACACTCCCGTATTTCACCAGCCCATTCTCTGACCCTTTCTTTGTTGTGGAGACGTTGTGTATTATTTGGTTCTCATTCGAGCTGCTGGTGCGCTTCTTTGCGTGCCCTAGTAAAGCCATTTTCTCCAAAAACATCATGAATATTATTGACATTGTGGCCATCATTCCCTATTTCATCACTCTGGGCACAGAGCTGGCAGAGAGACAAGGAAACGGACAGCAGGCCATGTCATTAACCATTCTGCGCGTAATTAGGCTTGTTCGGGTGTTTCGCATCTTCAAACTCTCGCGTCACTCCAAAGGGCTCCAGATTTTAGGACAGACTCTGAAGGCCAGTATGCGTGAGCTGGGCCTGCTCATCTTCTTCTTGTTCATCGGTGTCATCCTCTTCTCAAGTGCTGTCTATTTTGCTGAAGCAGACGACCCAGATTCGGGGTTCAGCAGCATTCCAGACGCATTCTGGTGGGCTGTTGTCACCATGACTACCGTGGGCTACGGGGACATGCACCCCGTGACCATCGGGGGGAAGATCGTGGGGTCTCTCTGTGCCATCGCTGGTGTGTTGACCATTGCTCTGCCCGTGCCTGTCATTGTCTCCAACTTTAACTACTTTTACCACAGAGAGACGGAAGGGGAAGAGCAGGCACAGTACCTGCACGTGGGCAGCTGCCAGCCCCTCGCGGACACAGAGGAGCTGAGGAAGTCTCGCTCCTCTTCCTCACTCAGCAAGAGCGAGTATATGGTTATAGAGGAGCACGGGATCAACAGCACGTTCAAACAGCAGCCCAACTTCCTCACCACCACGCAATACAACTCGGAAAATTGTGTGAATATAAACAAAAAGATTTTCACCGAAGTGTAGCCAATTATAGAGTCATAGCTCTGAACGCAGGAAGGGTAGTGTGTAAACACACAGCTGTTTCTGTCGCTATGCTACAGCGTGCGGAAGCAGCGGTAGATCAGATGAATAAACAAAGGAATAATGAGGGAGGGGAAGCAAAATCCTGTCAGTTCAGAGACGCTGCTTTGTGCTCCATTCACAAAATCTGTCCTTTTCATTTCGGTGATGAGGATTCATAATTCAGTTTTACTTTCGCGCTTGGAGATAAAGAACTCATTTAAAATATTAGGTCTAGTATTCTTCGGTGAGTTAGGGAATTGACCTGTTGTGCATTGTGAAATTGCCAATACATCATCACAACAGCCTATTAGAGGCTTTATAACTGAAAGATGAGTAAAAATGTATGGTACTCGAAGAGCACATTGTAGCCTATTGACATAGCCTACGTGTTATGAGTCGTGATTCGTCAGTCATAGCCTATAATATTCAGAATCATTGAAATATGTGTCTGAGTGTTTTAACACATGTAATGTCACAGTTTTGCATATTATCTAAATTAGACCGTTCTGTGAGATGACTTAGGCCTAATTGTGCGTTAAAGTCTAGTCAAAATGTTACTGTCTTTAAAAAAAATCCCTTATCCTTTCATATGAACTGTCATGGTGCGATATACCTGCTGTCAGTCACTATCGGTGCAGGACACAGGGATAAACACAGCGCACACGTACAGCGATCAAAGATGGAGCGTGCTTCTCTTTGGATGCCTCAAATATAGCTATGCCCGCTGTGATGCAGTCGCCATGGAGACGTCCGTTTCCTCGGTAACCCCAGTCACCGTTGCCATGGCACCCTTGCTTCCACAGAAACCTTCCAGATGGCTTGGAAGCTATATCGGAGATTGTTATCAAAAAAGCTTGTATTGAGTCTCTAATAGGACAGTACGATTTGCGTGCGTAAAATACGAGCCCCAAACATACCGAGCATTGACACACAAAGCAAATTGGGAGAACAACGTCTGTTCACACAATTGCCACTATTAACTGGGTCCCGAAATGAACCAGGCACCGCTTGCTAAACCGGAAGATGTGGAAGGGGAGGCAGCGCGTGAGGAATTATGAATGAACTGGGAGCACGTTGTGTCTGGCTGTCCTGAGTGCGCTACTGCAGGCGCTCAGCAGAGGCTGCTGTTCTCCCACTGATAAACATGGTAAGTTCTGAACACTGTCACTCAGGCCCTGGCCTCTTTATGAACCCTCCCTTTACATTTAGTCATAAAACCAGTTGTTTTACTGTGTGGGTTTAATGGGAATGCCAATACATTTAGGTTAGTTCAATATAAAGAGTGTTACCTTAATGACATTTCATCCCAGTAATATCACAGCATAATAAAAGCAAGAGGTGGTTGGTTTTTTGTCCATGCTCTTATTCATGCAGCACACGGTGCATACATGTACTGACCTTAGTGTGTGGGTTTTCCTATGTTGTGTAATGGGGCAGATGCTCCTGCAGTGCGCCCAGGTTGTCTTTAACCTTCAGATGACTGAATAAGGGCACCAACAGCATGCCCACCCAGTGCTGCCCCCTGGTGGCTACCATCTCCTTAAAGAACAGGTGGCTCACCTGATGTCTCTGACAACATTTGCCAGTGATGTCAAAAAGATTCAGAGGTAACATAACCATGAGATATCTCACAACAAGAGGAAATTGAGAGCTGCCATTTAACAACAGTATTGTTAAATGCATTGAATCTCCCACTCATGCTTATAAACGTGTTTATATTGAAGTGTGAAAAAAATCCCATTTAAAATTATTGTTAGTAGTAAAGCCTCTACCTTGCCTTTTTTCCTGTACCCAATTCCTATCTTTGGAACTGCTGCCCTGCTACCCTGCAGATTTATGTTCACTGTCACCCCTGACTGTGATTACTCTATCTAAAAAAGAGATGGGATGAGAGGGAAATATAACATGTTAAAAAGGCAGGATGGGGAATCTATCTATCAGCCATGTTCTGAATCTATTGAGTGTGACTCTGTGTGCACTTGAATGTGTTCTTGTGAGCATGCGTGTGGTAGTTGACTATTATACCTCAACACTCATGGCTGAGTGATAATAAGGGCATTCTCAGTAGTTGGCTTACCCTAAAGGCAAAGTGGGAGGTCCCACAGAAAGAATGACCGCGTCATAGATTATTGCTTTCCGTTTTAACCCCTGACCTTGACTTCATACATTTTCAGTGAAACCCTCTGTGTTGGTCATCAGTTAAATTGCCTGCTCATTTCTCAAATCAAATAAAAGCTCCAGAGAGGAGAATCACTGGTTTATTGATTGTAAGCAAACTATATTTTGGAAGAGACAGTAGCTGCTTGTTTATAATCTATTTGGATTGGTCAGTCTGGAAGCTAATCTTATGAGCCTGGCGAGGATAAATTATCGAGAAAAGAACGCACATAAAAAAAGAACGGTAACATGCACTTTTGTCTTTTCAATTCCTATTCTGTCAAGCTCAGATGATGTGCAACATTGCAGCTCGCTAGTGTTTCACATTTGTTTCTGTCCAGATCCCTATTACATATCCTAACATCTGCTACTCTTTCTTTATCTTTACTAAAATGTAGGCATTTGGTTGATGCTCTTGTACAGGATGAATTGCAGTGTGGGGATGCATGTCTGATTAACTCCAAGACTGTAATGCTGTCAGTGGTGGCACTTCTAGAGAAATGTTGCCCTTGTTAAAATTGTCTCGCTCACATCAAATATGCCTGCCCCTCTTCACCTCCCTTCTCCTCTCCTTATGATCTGACACTGTTTACACTTTGAGTTGTGCATGAGGGGTAAGAAGACAGCAGGGAGAAGAGCAGCATCCTTGCGTTGTTAATAAGATCACCAAACTATGTGATGGGTCTGGTTACTCTGTGTGGCTCTAACAATGTAGTCTTCTCTCCTCCCCATTCTCCTCTTCCTCCTCTCTCTCTTTCTCTCTCAGGTAAAAGTAGCTCAATTTTTCTGCACAGACCTCCTGGAAACCCTGACGACCCCAATTATACTGCCTCCCATTTAGGTAAACAGACTTGATTTGATAAGAAGAGTAAATATGACATTAGTGAACCTTACCTAACATTCACTGCTAACGATTTAGAATGGTGTTCTCTGTTTAGAGCTGTATAGATTACCCATTAACCTGCAGTGACCTTTTTCTCTCTATAGGGGCGCAATGACTCTGGTCTTCCTGATGAGCCAGATTGGCCAAAGCAAAGAGTTGAGACAGAACTCCCACTGGATCAATATTTCTTCCCCTACCCTCCTCCTGACTGGTGTCCTTAAACCCAGACTGGGTGCCTACCAGTTCTCCCCTTCCAGTGGTACACCACTCAATCCAAAATGCAATTGCTAGAATGACAAAAAAAACGGACATATAATGTATTCCACATACAGTTTTGTAGCTGCAGTATTCTGACTGCTTTTCTTCTGGATTTGACACACTGTGAGTGGATCGATCACGCCGTCAAAATGGATTCAGGCAGCGAGAGAATTCAGCTGGATCAGTTTTATGGACTCTGGCATTTCTCTATCTATCTACTGTTTTCCATATAAAATTGCAATATGGCAAAGAACATCTAATTCCTGGATTTAATGCAGATTTCTACCCATTCATGTTTTAAGGTAATGATATTCATTATGGACAATAACTGAAAAACAGATTTAGCTTCAAGTCAAAAGTGGCTAAAACTGAGGCCGACCGTGATTTGCTGATATGAAACTGTGATACAAATCAAAGACTGTTAGCCATATGCCTTTTGTTAATCTGTGTGCTCTGTATTGCAGATGATACAAATTGTATCTGTATTTGTAAGTGATACAAACACCTATGTATGTGTGCTGGTTGCAGCTATTCCCCTGTCCTATACACATGGAGAACAATACAGAGGCATATATATACATACATGCACATACATGTATACACGTACCTATGAATGGCTCTGTTTTATCCCAGAGTGCACTGATATGTTGGGATGGGGCAGAATAACGCCAGTGGAAGGTTGTGTATGCCAGTATTTGTTCTGTGCTATTCTGTGCTGTCTTAAACATGACCCATATAAAGAGATATCAGTAGTACTGTCATTATTTGCGAGGAGATTTTTTATTAATTAATGAGAAAATTGAACTGGGAAAATATCTTTATAAACCGTATTTGTGTGGTTTTGATGATTTCATGATTAGAGACATTTGAACCAGCATTACCCTGTCTGTGTTGATGTTTCTGTAGAATTAATCCTTTTCTATAATTCACTTTGGTATGGTTTAGTATAAGCTACATATTTAATTTGGATTTCATTATTTAACAGGATGAAGGGCAAATAAGGGCAGACCAAAAACATCAAATAGTTTGCAGTAGGACACTAGAACAAGTAATAGCAGTGCTTACGAATGTGATTCTGTGTGTGATTATAAGTTGCTTTAATCATTCAATGTTGCTCTAATGTCCTAGATTTATAGGGGTATTATCATCCATAAATATGTTGACAGACAGAAAAAAATGGTTTATTGTCATCATACTCTTTTAGTATAGTGAACAGGGTTTGGTGTGTAGCCCTTGAGCAGCTGTCTCGTACAACACAGGTTGGGGTTGTACTAAACAGCTGGTGCCAAACAGAAAATATCCTATTTGTAAACACAACTGAAATAGAAGTATGATAATAAAAGTAAAAGCAACTATGCTCTATGACACAATTTCTGCAACCTCACCCATTTTAAAATGTGCATGGACAAGAGATGATTGCTTTTATAGCACAATATTGCAAAAACATTTGGCTTTTCCCTGAACTGCACAGAGAATTGAACTGTGTGTGAGTCCAGTGGAAAACTTCATATCATCGCTGTGCCGCAGGAGGTAAATATTAACATTCTAACAGAGGTTTACAGCCATCACACTGTCATCCTGTGTATGTCAGCAAGTGTGCTTTATTGCTCCAGGGAGCCCACCAGCTTGCTAATAACTCTGCCATCTCTCTAGGCTATTGTGTGGCCACCAATATCAAAACCTTTTTTTTTTTTTTTTTTTTTGCCATATTGGAAATGCTGTGATAGTTTTAATCTAAATACTCCCAATGTTTATCAGTGCAGCACAATTCATTTTCTCCAATTTAAACATTTAATTTTTTCTGACTGATTGGTTCTCTTTATTTGGCTATATTAAAAACATGTTAGTGAAAGATACAACTGCCTTTGAGATCACAAAAATACCGGTGATGTCATCAAAGCTCACCACCAGCCATGGCGCTACATCAGGAAATCTCCATAGCAACAAGGGAGGGTTGTCTGCAAGATGAAGAGAGTGGCCATGTGAACAGATTCAGGTGCATTGAAGGGATCACCACTTAAGCTGTCTGTAATACTAACAGCAGTGTTTGTGTGTACAGGACTTCTCAGAAGGGTGGGCGTTGGCAGTGTGTGTCTATGTGTTTTGAGTTATTGTAAACAAGTGTGTGTGTGTGTGTCTTTGGCAGAGGATCAGTGTATTGCCAGTAAAGACAGATCGGGTGTCACCATCAAGGGTCTCCATTGGAACAGTCGGTCTAAGTGGAGTTAAGACAATGCCAACACCCCTCAGTCCTGAGCCAACACCAGACTGTATACACACACACACACACACACACACACACACACACACACACACACACACACACACACACACACACACACACACACACACACACACACACACACACCAGCAGCAGCAGTTACTGATTAAAGGATATACCAACATTTATAGAAAAATAAAATGACTTCATCACTAAATAACTGATCTTTTTGTTAGAGGTGACACTTGGGGCAGCATAAATAATTATTTAACACAACATTGATAAATCATAACCTTTAAGTTGATATGTCAAACAGTTGCTTACACATTGATTACCATAAAATGGTTATTGCTGCTAAGCAGAGCTGAAAACAACACTGATAGTGAACAATCAAATAATGTTAGACTGCTTCATATAGAGCTGCCTATTCAATTAATACCCAGTATGATTATGACAAAAAGCGACACATTTCTTATCACATTGTTTTCACATTGTCATTTCATTCATTTATTTTGTTTCAAATATAAATTATAGCTGCTTTAAGGGTAGATTCATTGTTAATTTGTTATTATATAAACCAATGTTATAATGATGGGGAGTCTCTCATGAGACTCAAGTTGTAAAGCCATCTGAGACAAACTTTTGATTATATATTTAAAATGTATTTAGACTTTTATTGTTTAAAATTGTACATTAAAAAATATTAACCTTTTGAAATGAGCAGATAAATGATTAATTTTCCTAAAATACTAATCAGGAGATAAACATTTCAACAACTTCCAAGTGCACTTTTCTCTGTGACTTTCAGTTCACTAGCAGAGCCACACCATTGGAAGCTATAACGATGGTTGCTAAGGGGGATGATGCTGTTGCTAGAGTGTCTTAAAAAAAAAGAAGGTATTAGTTCTTGATGCTGATTGGCTCATCAGTTGCAGTTTCCAGCCAAAGGCCCAGGAGACGAGGCGGGACTCCCTTTAGAGGTACATGCAAAATAAACAACAAAAATAATCTTAGACACATACACTCAAACACATGCAGCCACAAACATTAACATAATATATGTAGCATATTCAGACCCAAATGTTAAGACACATTACTTTTTGCTAGTAGTTCGAAGGGTTAATCCGCTGCCAATCATTCCCAATTTTCTGTCAAAACAAACAGACAGATGGTGGAGAGGGTGATAGCGTGAAGCAGAGAGATGCTGCTGTGCTCTACTGGATGACTCATCACTCTGTCACTGTGACCTTTATCTGCTACCTCTCTACCTCTATTCTTCCCTTCTCTTCATCTCTTTTCCTGCACACTTCTAACTTCATTTACTGAGAACTTTGTTTGTCCCCTCTTCCACCAATCCTTTTTCTCTATGCCACTTATGCCGCTAATCCTGGACATCCTCTAATGCTTTTCCTCCCTTTTCTTTCCTCATGTGGTCCACCCTCTGGTCCCATCACCATCACTGGTTTAGGGTGAGGTGTTGCCTTCCCAAAGGGATGTATGCCGGCTCTGCCATGTTGTTACAAGTTGACGGAAGAAGACACAAACAGAACAGACTGCAGACTGATATACATTAACTGTTGATTTCACTGAACTGACTAGTTAGGCACTTAACTGCTGCTCTCAGTATGGGAAGAAAGCATTTGCTAGTGGAACATTCTCTGCTTTCACTGCACATTCAATTAAGCATGTTGCCATTGTAAAGAAGATATCTGCATATTGCACACATATGCAGCCATGCAAACCTCTTCATGCAGTATAGATATCATTAATGCACTCCCAAGTTTCCTCTCTAAGTTAAGCCACGCCTCCAGACCAGTTAGCCTATTGATTTTTCCTTGTTTTTGAAGGCTGTGAGAACAACAGAAAATGAAACCACATCCAGAATCAATAGTGGAGTACTCTACTCTGAAGGTGAGGACATATCTCATCATCAAAACAGCAATCATAATCAGCCTCCTTGCTCTCAACAGGCAGGTAGAGAACTTCCAAGGTCAATCTCTAAATATAGAGGGACCCTAGAGAGAGAAGTGCCGGGAGAGACAGGAGAAAATTACGAAAAGAGAATGAAGGGTCAAAATAAGTTGCTTAGCGTGCTGTCAGAAAGAAAGAAGAATTGCTGTTGTGGAGTGGTTAATTGGGGCCAACATGCAATACTATTTAGGAATAGAAGGAGCATTTCCATGTGTTAACTGTTGTGGCATGTGAAGCTGTCAATCTGTTTAATTTTAGTGCGAAGGTGACAAATTAGTTTCCCTTTGTCCTTGTGACTTTGTCTTTATGTGTTTCAGTTTGTGCACTTCTGGTGGTGAGTGCACGCACATGCCAATACCATAGGTTACTACATCTGTGTGTGTGCGTGAGAGTGTGGTAATGGAGTGATCACCTGCTGCAGCACCAGCAGAGGTCATTCAGGACAAAGCTCCTCCCATCCCCTGCAGTCTGCTGTCATAAGTTGGATCAACACCCTCCTCTCTCCTTCACTCTGTCTCTTAGTCCCTCTCCTCCTCCCACTCTCACTTCCACATGTTGTGCTGCATAGAAAAGGGTGGAGATTTTAGGTGTGCTGACTCACACTGACACATACATATGCTGATCATCTCAAAATTAACTCTTAACTGCGCTATTTGTAACAAATCAAAACATATAAATTCAGAGTACATTTGTATTTAATGTGCTTATATGATGGGGATATTATGTGAACATCATGGAGCTCTGGGAATTTCTGGCACTTTCCTGTTTGTTTTATTATTCCATCCACATTTCTGTCTAGACATTTTGAGGCTCCCCGCAGTCGGGGCCCCTGCCCAGCAGCTAGAGTACAAGCTGTCCAGAAAATACAATCATAAATTGCCAAATCAAAAAAGGCATACAGTGTAAAATGGCTTGGTTGTGGTTACAGCAGTCGTGTGGGGTCATTAGTTGGAAAGCATTCTTACATTTCTCTGAGGTTCCATGTCGTCTGCGCTGCTGAACACAAAACAGAATCAATTGCCCCGTTGACTGAGACTTGGCACAACCTTAAAGTGAGACAAACTGGAGACAGAATTGAAGATTTAAAATGGTTGAAGGAGAAATGCCCTTAAACTTTCTGTTCAACTCTATGCCAGTGATATTCTACTGTTTACAGTGTATAGATCCGGGGTTTTCAAAGTCTAACTGTTTAGGATCCCCCCATAGACAAAATCAAGAAAACTGTGCCCAAACATTTATATTTAAAAAACATAGGTTAAAGGAATCCATTGTTCCTTCTATTAAAACAGGAAGTATGTGTTATTGGATTGAGTGAGTTATGAGTTCTGTGGAATACAACTTGAGCCACACTTTAACCCTATATGTGTTGTTTATTGCAGCATTAAAAGTATGCCCCATTAGCTATTAGCCATTCCTGTTGGCAGTCTACCAATGCTGTACAGTGAACTACTACTAGATTGCCTGTACTTGCATTAAAGAAGAGCAGAAACATATTTTTCTTATGATTTCTCAGTGGATTTATGGACATTTTGTTTATTGATATTGGTGAGATGT